GGTGGCCCACAGGTTAAGTACCATACAAAACTGTGATCTTATCACTGTGCTTGATAAAGGGAAGGTTGTGGAGAAAGGGACCCACTCGTCGCTTTTGAGTAAGGGGCCCACCGGTGCATATTACTCACTGGTCAGCCTCCAGAGAACCGGGCCCACTCAAAGCGTTCACTAAATTGTTAAGTAATGAACCCCCGCCTTAAAAAAATAATTTCCTTTTGTTCTTTTTGTTCCTTCCCCCATGGAAATGCTTGGTCCATGCAGATGAGGAGTGAGGATGGCATGGCATTTGATGTTGCAAAAGCGCTTCGATTAAATGTCTATGTAATAATGGTATTTTATGTGTTAGTACGTACGAGTGTACTAGAAAACTAGAAAGCATGATGAAGGCAATATTGTATAATTATTTTCCCAGTGTTTGTGTTTTTATTTTTCAGAAACTGATGCATCGTATACCTTTCCAGTTGACACTGTATACTACTACTACTGCTAACACAAGCATTTTCAAAAGAAAATACATCAGTTGCGTACTTGCCTTGCCTGGGTGCCGGGTTTGAAGCGGTTGTGCTTTTTACGGGTCGACGACTCGGTCGACTAGGGCAATGTTAAGAACAAACAAATTATTCTTTAACTTATAGAGAATGCACGACTTAAACTTCAAACATCTTATAACATTAATGGTTTGTTTATTAATCATGAATTGAATTCCAGTTGTGGAGGATCCCTGCATTTACTTCATATCAAAGAATTGAAAAGTAATCAGGAATTGAATTCATGATGTTGGAGGAATCCAATTATTGGATGGGAGGTAGTATTCTAATTCCCGGAGAACTAACCCATTAGGAATTCATATGTTTTTACCCATTATATCCTCACATAATTTTAAAAATTCCAAATTTGTTATTTACTTTAACCTAACAATGAAGATATTTTAGTAATTAGCACCACTCCGACCCCAATTCCATATGATTTAGTAAACAACTTCAATAGGAATTCGAAATCTAATTCTCCTAAATCCAACTCATCCTCAATTCAATTCCTCATAATCCAATTACGAATTAGTAAACATGACATAAGAAGAGAAGTATCGTTACACTAAGGGAAAGGAAAAAAAAACTGTTGAAAAGGCAAGAACAAAAAAGAAAGAAAGACATATAGCTACAATTGGGCCGAATTTAGGTGGCCAATTTGACCAAATTTTAGGTGGGCCTTGACTTGAGTCTGCGATTGTTTACTAAAATGATGTAGCATCAGCCCAACTCACATGCTCTAATGCATAAATTATTAAACTCAAAGTTTCATATTGGCTTATAAAAGCTACACAAAACCCTAAAACACGAGTCAGTTCCCTTGTCAGCGATCAAACCCTAACGAGTTCCCATTCTTCCCTGGACATCAGCTCACTAATTTCAAAGGCCAATCCCAAACACCAGGAGGCGGAGGAGGAGCAGGTGGTGCTTCGCAGAGATTGATGTCGATCAATGATGCTCGGTCGTTTATCAAGCAACTCAAGGACATGGGTGGTGACCAAAGAGAAGAATATTACATGTTTATTGAAATCATGAAAGATTTTAAGGCTCAAACGTATATCAACGTACCTATTATTATTATTATTATTTTTTCCCTGGTGAATGTGATTGATGGCTTGTTTGTTTATATATTTATTGGTTCCTTTCAGGATCGACACAAAAGGTGTTTGTGCGAGAGTAAAGGCATTATTCAAAGGGCATAAACACTTAATTTTGGGATTTAATCAGTTCCTGCCACAGGGTTATGAGATAATCCCTGAGGAAGAAGATGCGACTCCGCCGCTGCAAAAACAGACAGTTGATATGAAGCTGCTATCGCGTTTGTAAACAATAAAGGGGTGAGTATATATTTTATTGTTTTCTGGATTTATTTTTGAGGTGTTGATTTGAATTGAAACCAAACACAATCTTCTGTCTTAGTTTTAGTTTTTGTTATAACCTTGTGATACAAATTCACAGTCTAAAAACATAAGTCTTTGCAAAAAATGTTATAACAACTATATAAACAAATATACCCATCAAATGAGCAAAAGTAGAGAAACCCATCTTAAAATGAAATAAATAATAAAAACGAAAGTTATCTCCACAATATGAAAGTAGGAGAATTTTTGTTATCATGAAATATTATTTATTTCCATGTGTTTCAATAAGCATAAAGCTTTTGTTATTTATTTTTTTTGTAGTAGGAGGACAACGAGGAGGGCTGCATTATCTGCTTGAGGATATTGGGCTTGAGAGGGATTGAGTTTCTTAGACACTATTCATGTATTGTTGGACTCAAATTATTTTTTCCTTCAACCATAGAGATTTAAACTTGGACTTGCATATTTATTAAAGAGTTAAAGAATGGTTTAACTCTTTTTTTTTTTGTTAATTTTTGTTCATTACTCCGTGATTTAATTTTTTTTGAATTTTCACATAAATGGATGGATATTATCAATAATATTGATGATAATTAAATGAATATGTGCTAAAATATCTCCCACTCAAAAAAATGAATCGTCAATAATATCGATATTTAATACTATGAGTAGGAGTAGGAGTTTAGAGAACATTGCATAGTGCTTTACTGGCAACCTTGTGCTTATAAATCTTAGTTTTTTGGTTACCCAATTGTATAATTTTCTTTTGGTTGAACAAAATAATATAAGAGACGGAGAAAATGAGAAGGGGAGGAGGGTTACTTTTGGGCCGAATTTACCTTGCCAATATTTGCCAACATGAGAAATCATCTAATCCCTGCCCATTGATGGGTCCAAAATGAAACCCCCGAACACAAGTCGCCATTGTGAGGTTGGGTTAGTTCCTCTGTTCCTTCCACGTACCTAAGTTCCCTCTCTTGCCAAGTAACGCAAGACAAAGTTTTTATGGTTTGGTTTTTCTTTCTACTATAATATTTAAAAGGGTTATTTACTCAAATGATCCTCAAAATGCAAAATGCAATTCGGGTATAAATTTGAGGACCATTTGAACAAATAACTCATTTTTAAAATTATATATATAAGTGAAGACAACTACCATTGGATGAAAAACTAGTTGGTAACCTTGTAGCCTATTAAATAGAACAAAAATAAAGACTACTATTATTCTTGGAAATTTTCCTTTTCTTTTATGGCGTGGTTAGTTGCTTGGAATGGTAATGAAATGTTGAGAAATCATGTATCAAAATAATTATAATACTCATTTCAAGTAAGTATATAAGAATTAATTTATTTTCCTTATAGTAGCAATTGAATTTAAAATCGACTTATTCACTTCAAGATTTTTGTTTTTGTTTTATGATAACAACTTTAGTGTACCAAATTTGAGTTCCAAATGATGTGGCACATACCATATCATAAATATTTAAATAATCAATTCCAACTTATATTATAATTTAATTAATTTACTTTAAAAAGAAAATTAAAAGAATCAAAACTGAATTAATCAAAATCCTTGCAATCTAAACAATTAAAACTTAATTAATTAAAATCACTACAACTCTAAACAATTAGCTTGTCATTGTATCATTGTTGGCTCTGATTATCATCATCATCTTGGAAACAATTATATGAATTTGAGACTTTTAAAATGGAAATCTGGTTCGGTTGTTACTCCATGAACTTGCCGGGCGTCATATCCGTCCCACTATGTTGCTGCTCTTTCTTCTCTTTCCCTCATGTTTTTCTATATATATATATATATATTTTTTTTATAGAAAGTAGCATAAACATAGAAAACCCAGAAGAAAACCTTAAATGAAGAAAAAATTATAAATAAAAAAAACACGAGGGGAGAAGAAGGAGAAGAAAGAGCAGTAAACATGGTGTGGAAGGATATGACGACAGATTGAGTATAGAAACAAAAATGGCATGACATAATAATCCAAGTTGGATTTTATTTATTAAATATGTATGACATGGTATCATTTGGGACTCAAATTTGGTGCACAAAATTAGTGTATCTAGCATTATTATTATTTTAATTGCTTTCTTCCTAATTATTCCTCCGATGACTATAATATCGTAAATATATTAAGATTTATGAACTTTGTAGTTAATTAATTTTATATTTATATACAAACGAAATTGGAGAGAGAGGCACCAAACACAAAATTTTGATTACTAAGTAAGTAACCACTCAAATATATATATCCCTCGCGCTTTCTATATCTTTTATCATTGTGGGGGTTATTCTTTTCTTCTTTTGTCCTTTTTATCTAGGCTTGCTTTTTGCATTTTTTTTTACAGTACTTTGCAATTTACTTTTATACCTCAGAGTTGACTGAACTACCACTTCCAGACGGAAGGCACCAGTTGCGTCACCTACGTACTTGCGTGGCTGGCGGGTCTGTCTGAATCTGAAAGCAAAGCTAGACTCACAACTTCAAAACTTGGGCCTTTTCTGCCGAGGTCTCTCCACACAAGACGAACATTTATTTTATTTTATTTGTTTGAAATACAAAGACTCGCGACTGATGTTACAACCATACAAATCAAATTTAACAAATTATTTAGTGTCAGAAATACATGGATGAGAATGATTGTGGTTCTCTGTAAAATATGTCGAAGTTGTATACGATCAAACTGTTCAAATAAATTCCAAATATCTTGAATGGATCAAAGAACCGAAATCTTCTTATGTGATGATTTGAATTAAGACTTCAAAAATCACCTTCAATTCCCATGACAAAATTATTATAAAAAAAATTAAAAAATTACAGGCCCTCATCAACCCTAGGGTTTTGGAGCATCATCAACCCTACCCGTATTTATTATCCAAGAAATTTCATTGTTCTTGTGATCCTTTATTTATTTGAAGTGATGTAGGTAGTAGGTTGCTAGGGCACATTACGTATTTATGAGACGGAAAAATAATGGGCTTTCCAAACCCGGCCCAGGGGTCGGTCCAAAACGAACGAAATAGGAAATATAGTTGCACAAAACATTTTTAATTTTAATTTTAATTTTGTAAAGTTTTGCTAAGTGGAAGCGGAGGAGGGTGTGATGAGAGAGGAGAAGCTATGCAATACAAAACCCCAAAACACAAGCCATTCTCTTCACCATTTCGAATTCTCGGATTAGTTCCGCAGTTCCACGTACCAAAGTTTCCTCCTCCTTCTGTTTTCTAAATAAGACGATAAATTTCGTCTCTCTCTCCTCTTCTCTCTTGCAAAATTCACTTCCTAACGTAAGAGAAGAAGAAGAAGAAGAAGAAGAAGAAGATATCACAACCATTGTTCCTCTTCTTCCACTCTCTCTCTCTTCTCTTCTCTTTTCTTTTCTTTCTTCTTTTTTATTTTTCAATTTTTAATTTCTATCTCTTTTCCTCTGCGCGCGATCAAACCCTTGTACTAGTTTCCCTCTCTTCCCCGGAGATCTGCTCACTAATCTCCTGCAGAAAAGTAACTCTTCAACAATTTCTTTTTTTGCAAATGGCTGTTGGCTGTTGTTTTCTTCCTTCTCTCTTTAACAATTTGCTGATTTGTGATTCTTGTTTGGCACAGATGAAGAGAGTGAGAGATGATTTTGTCGTTGGCTCTGCAATTAAACGACCCTCTGGTTCTTCTCGCGGGGACTCGTAAGTCTCTTAATTTCACTCTTCAATTGCATGATTGCTTCAGTTTTGTTTGGTTTGTTGCAATTTGTTCTCATGCCAGTGTTAGATTCGACCCTGTTCCTTTGTTTATGAATACAGTGTACTTGATCATTATGTCATCGTATTGTGTACTTCTTTTACCTACAGTGGATTTGATTGGTCATGCTTGATCCTGGAATTTCTTCAATTTGTTTGGGGTTTGTTATTATTAGACTTGAACTGAGTAATAACTCCCTTTTCAAAGGTAAATTGAAGAGCTTTCTAAGATTTTGTTAGGTATTTTGTTTCAACCAGATATGCTTTTAGGAAATTGAAATCATATGCTGAATAGTTGTACAATTTACTTCTAGGGCTACGATAAATTTGGTGGACAGAATTTTGGGGAAAATAGTACAAGAGAATGATAACCGTTTTCATTTTGGAAATATGTTATCCTTTTGTTATTGTACCTCACTACATTTTGCAAATATTTATCAAGAGCTTATGGGTATAGGAAGGAATTGTATGTATTGTGTAATTGTGTTATGGTTTACAGTTTTTATTTTATAATTATATATTGAGTTTATAATCATTTGTTGGATATGGAGCAATAGGCAATCCCAAGTACCGGGGGGAGGAGGTGGTGGAGGAGGCGTTGTAGTAGGTGGAGGAGGGGCCATGGGAGGAGGAGGTGCTTCACAGAAGTTGACAACCAATGACGCTCTAACGTATCTCAAAGAAGTAAAGGAAATGTTTCAAGACCAAAGAGAAAAATATGATATGTTTCTTGAGGTCATGAAGGATTTCAAGGCTCAAAGGTATCTCAATGTACCCATTATTATTCTTTTTTCCTCTTGTAATAAATGGCTAAATGATTTTGCTGCTGACAGATTCCGGTCTTTGTCTATTTCAGAACTGACACAGCAGGTGTCATTGCAAGAGTAAAGGAGTTATTTAAAGGGCATAACAACTTAATTTTGGGCTTTAATACCTTCTTGCCAAAGGGTTATGAGATAACCCTCGATGAAGATGAGACTCCACCAAAAAAGACAGTTGAGTTTGAAGAAGCTATCAGTTTTGTAAACAAGATAAAGGTGAATATCTTTGTTTTTTATGTTAATAACAAGTATGACTGTTTGTTAGTTGCCCTTTTGATTAATTGATTTCTGTCCTACAGAAACGTTTCCAAAACGATGATCATGTTTATAAGTCATTCCTAGATATACTTAACATGTATCGAAAGGAGCACAAGGACATAAATGAGGTTTACAGTGAGGTAAATATGTGTAATTTTCACATGTGGCGTTTGATGATATAATGGATCTCTTGTTACGCTATTTTTCTCTGAAAGAGTATTCCACCCTGTGTTCTTAGTAGGTTATATCAATTTTCAGGTTGCCGCTCTATTTGACGAGCATCCAGATTTGCTTGATGAGTTCACCAGATTTTTACCCGATGCATCAGCAGCAGCTTCTGCACATCAGGCTCAATATGGCCGCAATTCATTTCCGCGTTTCAATGAGCGCAGCTCTGCTACACCCTCATTTCGGCCAATGCATATGGACAAGGTTTGCATTATTTTGTTTTTCTATGTTTAAACTTTTATGTGTCTGTATTAGTTAGTGATATGTAATGGGGGCCTGGCATTTTTCTACAGCAACGTAGGAGGGATAGGATCATTCCTTCCCATGCTGATCGTGATCTCAGTGTTGATCGTCCTGAGCTTGATGATGACAAAGGAATGGTGAAAGTGCAGAAGGAGCACAGAAAACGTTGTGAAAAGGAGAACAGGGATAGGAGAAATCGGGACGATGATGATAGAGAATTAGAAAATGATAACAATAGGGACTACAAATTGCAGCGTTTTCCTGAGAAAAGAAAGTCCTCCAGGAAGGTTGAAGGTTTTGGGGTGACTGCTAACTTTGCTCCTTATGATGACAAAGACTCCTTAAAGAGTGAGTTCTGATGGAATGCTTTCAATTTTATACATTCGTGTAGGTAGTATTGTTTCATTCTCTGGTTGTTTAGATGGAAAAACAGTTATAATTTGTTTTGAGATTGCAATATGTGTTTCTCATGGTAATGGCCATTTTTTCGTTAGTCTTGTTGCCAAATAATTAGGAAATACAATGTTTCTTTTTCAACATTGATGGATTTTAGGTGATGAAACCATCTGAAATAAAACTAGCATTATTCACATTTTTTGATTATTTTTCGTGTAAGGGTAAAATCCTGTTGGGAGAAAGAGACGCGTTATGTGAAACTGGTACTTGGTCTAATAGTCGGTCATTAGGCATGTCTTGATTGAATATTGTTTAATCCACAATGGGCCTTGTAATCTTTTCCCGTTGAGTGTTGTGAAAACCTGAACTTGTTCTATCATAATATCTGATTTTCAAACCTTGGGGAAAAGGATGGACCTTGCTTTGCTTACTTCCGTTAACCTTTGGCAGATAATTGCATGGTGGTGTTTCAAAGCTTTTAAAAATTCAGTAATGATGTTTTTAAGTGAGTGTTGCTTATGGTCTCTCATTTTTTGCCAGGCATGTACAGCCAGGGATTCATTTTCTGTGAGAAAGTGAAGGAGAGGTTGTGCAGTCAAGAAGACTACCAAGCATTTTTGAAATGCCTTCACATTTATAGCAATGGAATAATTAAAAGGAATGATCTACAGAATTTGGTACGTCTTACACCATTTTCAGCAGTTAACTGACACTTCTAAAGTCAAGCTTTTTGTCTGCTTACTCTTTGAGCTAGGGGATACTGGACAAAGGACACTTTATGATGACCATGCTTTATATCTTTAAAAATGTAATGAGATAAAATATTGACTACTTGATGCTCTTGCCTCTAGTTTGACATTTTTTGGAAACTCTGCCTGTCTCAGGTGACTGATTTATTGGGAAAGTATCCAGATCTTATGGAAGAGTTTAATGATTTTTTGGAGCGCTGTGAGAATATAGGTAAATGTCAAATTTGCTATCACTTTAAGTTGCTTTCTTGTGGTATTTTATCCTTTAGATTGTATCTGATTGAATTTATTCTTGCAGATGGTTTCCTTGCTGGTGTTATGAGTAGAAGTATGTGTTGGTTCTTCCTTTGTCTCTTTCTCATTGGATAATTTGAGTTTTCAGCTCCTCTACTATCTGCATTTGGAAGAATAATTTATATTTCAAATGGCATAATTTGAGCTGCCATGTGATTTCTCCGGAATTTTTTTCTTGCATCTGTAATTTGAGAATTCTGATGGGTAGCCTGTTGATTGCAGAATCTCTGAATAGTGATGGTCAATTATCCAGATCGGTGAAGGTAGAGGAGAAAGATAAAGAGCAAAAGCGTGAAATGGAGGGAGCTAAAGAAAAGGAAAGATACAGGGAGAAGTATTGGGCAAAATCTATTCAAGAGCTAGATCTCTCGAACTGTGAACGTTGTACTCCAAGCTATCGGCTTCTGCCTGAGGATGTATGTCATAGGTTTTGTGTTTCAAATACCATATAGCTTAGTCTGATGCTTAACTCATTGCTGCTTGTCACTTTGCAGTATCCAATACCTTCAGCAAGCCAGAGATCAGAACTTGGTGCCCAGGTTTTGAATGACCACTGGGTGTCCGTGACTTCAGGAAGTGAAGACTACTCTTTTAAACATATGCGCAGAAATCAGTATGAAGAAAGTCTGTTCAGATGTG